CCTCCTGTTCTTCTTTTTGTCGGATACAGACTAACACGGCTGCTACTCTGAAACTTTATATATAGTTAGTTATAGGATGATCTACAAGCTGTAAGTTATCTTTCATGTGAGATCTGAGGTGCAGTTGACCTGGGGTAAGTGACTGCCCCTTTGGGGCTGGGAGTAAGCTGAATATTGCTGTGATTGGTGGTGTAAGGAACCAGCTATCACAAAGGTACACGCACCTGGGCGGCGAGACAGACCGGCGTACCCAAGGGGCCTGGCTGGGACGCCCTGGTTAGGCTGTGAGGGTGCCTGTCACAGAGTCCCCGGCCGATGCTCTGGAACTGCTCCCCACAAAGCCAGTCAGGACTCTGGGGAGCCTCCTCTCCCTCGGAGCAGACCGTCTTCAGGGCAAGCAGCTCACACGGCTTCACCTCCTGGGTCTCTCCTGGGAGCATTCAGCATATGCCCCTCCGTGCGCTTCCCACAGCGAGTCCGCCCAGGCGGGGTCCTGGGGAAGCCAGAGGGTTCTGCACCCCCACTTCGCAGTCAGACGTGACTCTCAGCCAGCCAGTAAAACAGAGGTTTATTAGATGACAGGAACACCGTCTAAAACAGAGTTTGTAGGTACAGAGAACGGGATCCCTCAGCCAGGTCCATTCTGGGGCCCAGCGAGCCAGACAACCCCGTCTGCACTCACTCCCTGTCCCCAGCCAGCTCCAAACTGAAACCCCCTCCGGACCCTCCCTTCTGGCCTTTGTCTCTTTCCCAGGCCACGAGGTCACCTGATCTCTTTGTTCACCTTTAGCTATTCCCTTGCAGGGGGGAAGGGCCCCGGCCATTTGTTGCCAGGATACAGAGTGTCGGCCATTTATGCACACTGGAGACTTAAGAAATGCATAGGGGAAACTGAGGCACCCACACAGTATTCAGAGGAAACATTAAGAACAGTCCCACTTCGTCACAGTGTCTGAGGAGTTCACACTTAATAACTGGTTGGTGACACCTAGGTGCAGAACTCACAGCCAGTTTGGGTTTGTGCTCTGGTTCCTAGCAGTGCCCCGAGGCTGGTTCTCACATTCTGGGGGCACTGCTGGCAGCGGCACAGGTGGGATTTGACTGCCAGAACTAGCAAGGGGACCTTGTATTTAGTCCATTTCCCATCGCAAACAGTGTCGCAGACTCTCCTTCAGCGCTACGAGAACAGCCCCTAGTGTATTTCCAGCACTGTCCCTCTGACCTGGGCAGTCATGACCCACCTAAGGCCACGTCTACCCCGGCAACTTACAGCAGCACAGCTGTACCAACGCAGCTGTGCCGCTGTCAGATCGCTCGTGGAGCTGCTCTGGGCCGACAGGAGAGAGCTCTGCCGTTGGCACAATTAACCATCCCCAACGCGTGGCGGGAACTACGGCGGTGGGACATCTCCTGCAACATAGCACTGTCCACACTGGCACTTCTGTCAGTGACACTGATCTCGCTCAGGGGGGTGTTTCTTCACACTTCTGAATAACATAAATTATACCGGCAAAAGTGGTAGTGTAGACACAGCCTCCCGGCTCCTCCACAGGTCCTGAGACAGTCGTCTCCAGTGCCCAATTGTTCCCATTGCCCTGGCAGCCGCCATAAATGAACTCGTCACACGTCTTGGTGACTGAGTCGTAGAAGTAGCTGTGACTGCGGGCTGAACATGGGCCGTGCGGTCACTTTAGCTACAGAGCACGGAGAGGCAGGTTCGGAGAAAAGGGAGAACTCCCTGAAGGATCTCAGCCTCCACGTTCAAATCTAACTGGGACCCAGTCTCCAGCTGGGGTGGGAGATGGGGCTCAGGGCGTGAGAGCTGTGTGCGTATCCGAACCCCATGAAAACCCGTTTCTTAATGGTCACGTCATTTACATATTAGTTGAAGAACGGTTAGGGCCGGATTTTCAGAAACTAAGGTTAGGCAGACAAAACGTATGTGCAACTGCAAACCCCAATGCTAACAGTTACGGACTGTGTATGTAAACCCTCAATCGACACGTGCATATGACTGCTCATGGCCATTCCATGCCGGGCTCCTTCAAGGTACAGCCAGGGCTGTTTATGAAGACTTGTGGCACAGATTCATATGCCGAATAATTTTTTAACTGATTTTCGTGATTGTCTCCCCAACCCTGACCTCCCGCAGCAGGGCTAGAATCCAGCCCCCAGAACGAGCAAGCTATTTAGTCCCATTTCCCACCCTGGATCCGGGCTCCTTCCTGCGCTCCTGGGGTCCAGTCCCGCTCACAGTAGCGTTACTTCTAACGCTGTGCCCAGCCGGGAGAGTCGTTCTCGTTGCCCTGGCAGCCGCCGTAATAGAATCTGTGGCCCGTCCCGGAGGCCGGGTTGTAGAAGCGAGGGATAGGAGGTAGGAGTCGGCAAATGTCACCTGGAGAGAGGCGATGGGTTATAAGGAGGGCAGAGATCTGCAAGGGAGCTCAGACTGGAGGGGAGGTGGAGTATCTCTGGCCCACAGGATGCCTGGCAAGTGCTGTGGGGCTGGGGGCTCACAGGCCCATCTCTCTTTGCTGCTAGTACCTGTTACAGGTGTTACCCACACACTCTAAGGCACCCACCTTTACCCTCCAGTGGGCTCACGGTGTCACCCGGTTAATTTAGGCACCCTCACCCTTTCCCGGTTCCTAGGGCTCGGAGCATAATCTTCTGCAGGTTTGTGGGGCCTTTCCTCAGTAATATCTGTAATCTCTATTTATTAACAATCACCAAGCAGAATACACGCGCTAAGCATACAGTGCTGAGCTCACCAATCCTGATCACGCAGGCGGACTTCCCCTGGTGGCCAGGCAAGGGCAGTCTCATCTGGATTCTGGTTGCTGCATGTCACAGTCGGGCAGAGGATTCTTAGCAGCTCTTATCTTAGGCTGAGTCTTGGGGATGAGTTCTTCTTCTTTTTTCAGGTCTTTCCTTCTTCTGCTTCTTCTTTTTTCCCCCCCACCTGGTCTCATTCTTGGACCCCAGTACATCTAGTGTAACTGGAGTCCTGCTTAGCTATACCTTAACCAATCATTGTACTAAAGTATTGTGAAATAATTCTTTGACCAATCACAACATATTGTGAAACAATTCTTTACCCAATCATACCCCACCGCCTTAGTTGATTTAAGTCTTGCAAAATTAGTTATGCAACAGACAGAAACAAAGAACCAGACAGATAAACAATAGAGAAGTAGGAACCATAAAGGCAAACCAATAGAAGTATAGATTTTACAATCACAAATGTTGATAAGTGATTCCTTGCCAGAGAGAACGCTATCAAACCAAGTTTTCTTTGGCCATCTTAAGATCTGTTTCTTTATCTGGTGATAGTGGGTCTATTAGGACAGGATCTCTTTCTTAACAGCCTGATATTACAGTGTTTTAATGTAATTTAGTTGGAATGTCGGTCACTGTCCTAATGTGGCTGCAGAAAAAGGCCTCAAACCTTACAGAGGGGCCAGACAGCCGAGGCCACAGCCAGTAAAGCAGCATTTCTGCCTGGTGGGACAGTCCCTGTCGTCACTGCACTTATTCTCACACGGCGCGAACGTCTGCAGCACCCTCCTCTTGGGGCAGGTGCCGGGTTTGGCTGGAAAAGGGAAACAACAACAGCTCATGTCTCCGTGGGGAACAAACCCCAAACCCACAGGCCTGCACCATGGACCTGAGCCAGGCCCAAGAGCTGACCTCTGGCCAAGGCTTTTCCTTGGAGTCCTGGTCTGCTTCTCTCCAGGACTGGTCTCTGCTGCTTCCACCCAGACCCTCCCACCCCACGCTCAGCCGCATGCCCATGGGCCTTAAACCCTCTCCAGTCAGTCCCCTGCCTGTCCCAGCTCTGTCACTTACCCCACCTCCCTCCCTGGCCCATGCTCAGACCCGGCCCCACTTGTCTAGCAGTTTGAATTACCAAGTACCCCTCCCTTGGGCCCCCCCGCTCCCAGGTGCAGCATTACCTGGCACCGCCCGTGCGCAGTGCACGTGGCATCCCCAGCTGCAGCACTTGTTGCCCGTTCCACATTCCCTGTCGTTACTGCATTCCACAAGGCAGATTGTCACCGTGCCGGGTGGGGCCTCCTGGCAGTACCCTGGGTTTACTGGGGAACAGAACAGCGAGAGAGCAGGGTCAGCATTGTCTGGACTAGTGACAATGGAAAGGCTGCTATGTAACCGCAGCTTGTGCGCCTGCAGCTGCAAGCAGGCAGATCCCCCAGCCGCCCAGATCACTGGCCTTGCACACACCGCCCCGTTCAGTGCTAGTAATGTATCTGCCTGTAGGGCTCCAGGGGAGCCTGGAAACGTAGGACTGGGAGGGATCGGAGAGGTCCTCTAGACCAGTCCCCTGCACGGAGGCAGGACTACGTATTATCTGACCACCCCTGACACGGGTTTGTCCAACCTGCTCTTCAAAACCTCCAGTGACGGAGATTCCAGCCTCCTAGGCAATCTATTCCAGTGCTTAACTACCCTGGCAGGACGGTTTCCCTAACGTCTAATCTAGTGACTTGAGTCATTGAAGGCAACTGATGCAGAGCCCCCTGGGCCATCCAGATGAGGGTCTCCAGCCTTCCGGGTCAAACTCAGGGGACAGATGGGCAGCTGCCGCTGGACTGGGCAGGAAGCAGCAGACACGGTCGATTTATCACCGTAGCATCCGAGCGCCACAGTTGTAATCAGGTTACCCCAAGATTCCACCCCCCATCAGGAACCTCGTTCTCTGTCACTCCCGCACACAAGGGAGGCCCAGCTGGTCCCGAGCTCTGACCATCCCTTGGCTGGGTGGGGGCCAGGCCCATGCCCGTTGGGGTGGGGATGGGCCCTGGAAGCAGGATTCATGGGGCTATCGTGGCTGCAGGTGTCCAGACTTTCTCAGGGGGGCATGGCCACCATGTTAATATTAAAATAAGAAGCCCAAAAGGGTGGGTGTGGCCATGGGGTCTCCAAGCCTTGGCTCTAGGCTCCCAGCAGCGATGCTGGGCTGGGGTGGAGACAGGGACAGATTAACGTTTTGTGGGCCCCCATGGGGGCACTGGAACATGGGGGGGGGTCCATCCCCGGAGCAAGGGGCCAGCCAGGGGCAATGGGGCATGGCATGGAGAGGGCTGCCCCGCTCCGCCCAGCCCAGTGCAGGGCACTGTTTACAAACCGGCAGTTGCCAGACGCACAGTGACCCACCTGGCCCTGTTCTGCCAGCATGTCCCTTCCCCTCGGGGGAGGGGGGGCCATGCCATGCCACACCACACATCCCCCCACACCCAACACCGGAACACCCCCACCCCTGATTCCCTATGACCAGAGGGCCCCCCCCAGACCCGCTATGCCCAGCACCCCCACAGTAACCCCCCCCCCCAGACCCTGCCACAAATGCACAGCGCCCTACAACACCACCCCTGCACACAGCCCCACAACTGCCCAGCACCCCACATAGAACCCCCACTCCCTAGTGCCCCAACACCCACTCCTTCCCCGTCCCCTCACAGCCCAGCCCCCCCCACAGAACCCCCCCTCCCTAGTGCCCCAACACACACACCTTCCCCGTCCCCTCACAGCCCAGCCCCCCCCACAGAACCCCCCCTCCCTAGT